TGATGCGTTCAAAGACCATATTTTGGAGGTGTCTCAAGCGGAATGGAAAAAATGCTTTGACAAGTGGTTCGAACGCATGCAAAAGTGTGTAGATCATAAAGGAGAATATTTTGAAAAACAAAGTATTGTTTTTTTATTATTATTTTTATTATTAGGCTCAAAATATAAATAGTGACCCTCGTATAGTATATCAGGACATCTTGCGTAATGCAAATGTCGGCATATTGTAACTTTCGAAACTCATAACTCGAAATGTACCTAACGAAAAAATACTTTATTATAGTGTTTTGGAAAGCTCTTGAAATAAACTATAAGAATTCGCAATAAAAAACTGGTGGATTCCGTTAAAAACATCATGTAACATGGACCTGACCTTAAGGACTTCTTATCAAGGTGAATCAAGGTCTTTTTTTCCCCCCCCCCCCCCCTTGAAATCATAAAATTTTATTTCAGAGTTGTCTAAGAAATGTTGCAAACGTATTTCGCAATTTTTATGAAATGTTTCAGTTTTCAGTTGAAGTATTTCTGAGATATTTTTGAAAACTTGGTGTTGTATGGGTCTATACACTAATAATTTACTAAGAATATAGCACATAAATAGCATCCGCAATTCATTACATTAATATTGCATATGGTACGGAAACGCTGTAATGACAATTTATTTCATCGCATTTTTGACTCCAAAGTATAAATAGTCGAATCTTTTTAACATATAGAAAAACTTGCTTTATATATGAACTTTTTTAGACAGTTTCAAATTTTATATTTAGTATTTATTTAATATTTTTTTTTATTATTGCATATACCATGGTAGTATTGATTATCAAATAATGTAATTTGTTTAAATCTAATAACTTATTACAATATTACAAAAAACAAAAAATAATGAACCATTTCCAGTAATGGTAATGGTAACGCGTTACTTTTTTAAAGTAACGTTTCCAATTCTATAATCTAGCATATTAAATATTTTGAAAGAGAATTAAATAACCATTACTTTAGTTGGAAGAGAAAATGTCTTTGTGTGTGTGTGTGTGTGTGTGTGTGTGTGTGTGTGTGTGTGTGTGTGAATGAATTGTGATTTAATAATTTCATTTAAGAGGAATTTAAATCATTTGGATTGGAATAGGAAGATACTTCAATAAGATATACGTATACTTAGGTTTCATTCTATAAAAATTAAAGATAATATTTGGATTAAGTAAATAAAGAAATGGGATTTGGCGCCAGTTCTTGATATATCAAATCCTTTATAGAAATGATACATATCATTAAAGTCAATATTATTTATTTAATTTGGTATCCGAATTACGTGGAATTTAATTTGGCGCCAATTGTTGATATCAAATCTTTTTTACTATCGATACAATAAAATTTTGAGGAATTTAACTTGGCGCCAATTTTGTTGATATCAAATCTTTTATATGAATGATACATATTAGAGTTAAATAATATTATATACAAAGGACCGGTTTCACCAACGCGATTAAGCCGAATCAACCATAAGTGGTCAATTCCACTAAACAGCAAACGCGATTAGTCAGTTCCACGGCGAATTAAGTAATTGGCATTGGTGAAACCGGCCCAAATAATTTTTACGAAAAGCACGCACGCTTAGGGCTTTTTTTACCTTTTTTTAAAAAGGTAAGTTTGTATAAATAACAAGAAACAATACCATTTGTGTTTTCCTTTTTAATTTGATAGATAAAATTTAAATTAGCGCCTGTTGTTGATATCAAATCTTTTATACACATGATACATATTATTAGAGATAAGTAAATAAAAATAATAATACCACTTGGATTTTACTTTTTAATTTGGTAGAATTTAACTTGATAAAGATAGTACCACACGGGTTTAACATTTTAATTTGGTTAGATTTTACCATAAATAGTTTTTCCGAACAGCATACATACTCTTAACGCCTTTTTTTATCTTTTTTTAAAAAGGTAAGTTTGTATATAATTTAAAAAATCCCACCATCACCCCCATCGTTTTATAATTGTACATATCACTAGAGTTATCTAAATAAAAAATCCCTCCACCCCCATCGTCTTATAATAGTAATATAAAATTGTCGACATAAATATCAAGACGATGGTCATTTGTATACTATTGTATGTTTACACATCACTAGAGTTAACTAAATGCGTTAACTTTGTTGATACCGAATCTTATATGGATCATACATATCCCACTAGAATTAATTTTAAAATGTTGTGATATTACTTGATAGTTTTTGCAAGATTCACACATTCTTAACGCCTTTTTTACCTTTTTTAAAAAATGTAAATTTATATATAATTAAAGTTACTGTTACTTTTTTGTGATACATCCCTCCACCACCCCCATCATCTTATAATAGTAATATAAAATTCTCAAAATAATCTCAATATTGTGGCATATCTTCTTTAAAATATATAAAACTTTAATTTGCCGGCAATAAACAACAAAACAAAAACAAACATTTCGATTCCGATTGTAATGATAACACAGATTCGATACGGCCAAAATGCCGCTTATGCGGTGAGCAACAAAAAATTTCGAATAGAATAACATACGCCGAGCCTCCTGATGATACTTAAATTCGCGTTTGAAGAGCCGGACGGGGTGATCCCGATTGATCACGGCTCGATTGGACACTACCAATCACAGCGACTGGTGCCTAGGAGCTTTGTAGTCTCAAGCGCTGTGAGTGACTCGTGTCCGATTGAGCCGTGTCCAACTGCCATCCGAGCCAGACACCCTTTCCAAAAACGTCCCGCCCAACAAGAAAAACAAAAGGAGAATAAAGAGAATTGCCACTTCCGACTAGAGAATCTCAAAGGGAGAGAGTGGCAAACTGCAAACTCTGATTGGGCGCGGTCATCGAAACTCCATAAACATGGAAGTGGAAAAGATTGGAGAAAACTGATCATGTGACCCCCCGCCCTGATTGGACGCTGTCATTCACGTGATGCAATTTGTCATTTTCTCATGATGTGCTCAGTTGAATGGTGTCTCTCTCTAAACCTCCGCCGTCTCTCTCGCATTTCACAGTTGGCAGTCTTTGTCTCTTATGTGACATTTATAAAGGTGCCTTTTCATGCTGGTCCTTAACGCTCATTTCCAGCGTCAAAATAAGTCACGTGATCAAAACGTTTGATATTCGTCAATTTCTATCACGCGACTTATTTTGTCGCCGAAAATGACCGTTGAATGTCGGCATGAAAAGGCACCTTAAGCCTGATGTCTACGATGCTAAAAATCGGCCCGAGACCTCGGTTGAAGAAAGAATTGACCAGTCACAATGTATATACTTACGTTTCTTTTTTCACTTCCATTTCGAATCCAACTTTTATTATTATAAATATATAATTATATAAATACCCAGGTAGCAAGCTACGTCATTTTGACGTCATTTTGACGTCAGCTTGCTATCAGGGTATAGTATTAAATAGTATTGGTAACGAGTAAATTCTCGGTCATTTTCTTTACCAATTTTCGTAATCGAAACATTAATTTCTAAAGCATCAAATATCCGCCTTCGATGGCTTGGTGCGCGGGGAGTGGGGAGTGCTTAGTAAGCGTCCCACGCCCCGCACACCGTCGTGAGCCTTCAAACCTAGAAATCAGAGATGCGACATGCGTGAATTGGATTGGGTCGTCATCGCTATTTTAATTTAGTGTATGTACTTATAACCATAAGGTGCCTTTTTATGCTGACGCTCGACGCTCATTTTCAGCGTCAAAATAAACCACACTTATATCAAGTGTCAATTTTGATATTGGGTGCTTTCCATTTGATGACACAAGTCGACACAAGCATCGTTCTATCCTTGTTGACATTGAGAGAGTGACAAAGATAGAACGACACTTGTGTCGACTTGTGTCATCAAATGGAAAGCAC